GAATATTGAATATATCATGGACTGCCAGAAGAATGAACAAATCTGGGAGAGCTGTTACACTGTGGGGTATTGCAGTCAATGTCATGAGACAAAATGTGTATAAACTGCTGTATGAAAAATGAATTTGCTCTGTAAACTTTCACCCAAATCACAGTAAAAATTAAAAAAAAAAAAAAAGAATGAACAAATCTATCTCGGAAGACGTACAGCCAGAATGCTACTTAGAAGTGAGAATGGCGAGACTTTGTCTCTCTTACTTTGACCATGTTATTAGGATGGACCAGTCCCTGGAGAAGGACATCGTTTGGTAAAGGAGAGGGTCAACAAGAAAGAGAAAGACCCTGAACAAGATGGACTGAGTGGCTGCAACAATAAGCTCAAGCATAGTGATGACTGCAAGGATGGTACAGGACTAGGCAATGTTTAATTGTGACTCTGTTTCACAGGGTCACTGAGACAGAGCCTATCAACAATAACAACAGTCTGCCTTTGCCATATGACACTTAATGCTGACTACAACCCCCTTTCTGGAACCCTCTGTATTCACTCCAACTCTAAGATACCATACTCTTCTTTTCCAAACACTCTAGTGCCTAGGTTTCAGAGTGTTCCGTGGACTCCCTTTTACCTATCCACCCTGTAAACATCAATACCAACAGGATTTTGTGTCAGCTCTCTCCTTACTTTAAACTCTCACCCTCAGAGACTGTACTTTCCCTAGCTTCAGCCACTTCTTTTTTCTTTCATATATCAATGACCTCCAAATCTTCCTCTCTAGTCAAAACTTCTTTCTCTCAAGCTTCAAAAACATATAGCCACTGTTTACTATATTTCTCTTTTCCTGTGTTCTAGAGCTCTGGTGGTATAGTGGTTAAATAGCTTAGCTGCTAACTGAAAGGTCAGTGGTTCAAACCTACCATCCTCTCTGCAGAAGCAAGATGTGGCAATCTGCTTCCATAAAGATTACAGCCTTAATCTTTACAGAAGCATAACATCTTTTTTAGGAAATCCTGTGGGGCGGTTCTATTCTGCCCTATCAGGTCACTATGAGTCAAAATCAACCCAATGGCAATGTGGATGTTCTAGTGTCACTTTGAAATCAAAAATCAACAAGTTCAATATTGAATGCATCATACTCCCTGACCAAAGGGTTCCTGTTCTTGCAATCTGTCCAGTGCCCAGCCAGAAACCCAGGTATCCTCTTTGATGCATACCTCTCTCCAACAACCACAGGATTCCTGAATTACATCCATTCTACTTCATTCTTTGGCAAATCTGCCTTCTTCTCAGCATCTGAATATCCTTCTCCAATTACTGCATAAGCTATCCCTTGGTCTTCCTGCCTCCAGTCTTGTCTCTGAAATCCACTCTATACTCTGCTACTAAAGCCAACTTCCCAATCATAACACTCACCTGCTTGATTCTTCAAAGACTCCCAATTGCTCACAGGATTCCCTTAGCATGACAAAGAAGCCCCCTCCCTCCACTACAGCTCTCCTCATCCCCACCTCACATCCACTCTGAAGGGGTGCAGATACACACATACACACAGGCAGATCTCACATTCTTCTAATTTCTATGTAACCTTCAAAACTAAGCTCAGGTAACCCTTTCTCTAGGAACATGTCCCTGATCCAACGCCAATTCAGGTGAGATGCCCCCCAATATGAACTGAATTATGTGTCCCCAAAATATGTGTTAGAATCCTAACCTCTATATATGTAGGTATAATCCTATTTGGAAACAAGGTTTTCTTTGCTATGTAAACGAAGTCCTATCAGTGTCTAGTATGTGTTAAACCTAGTCACTTCTGAGTTATAAGGAGCAGCACAGACACAGAGACAAGCAAGCATAAACGGGAAGACAGATGCTACATCATGTGATGATCACGAAGGAACTGAGGAATGATGGAAGAGATCTTCTCCCAGAGCTGACAGAGAGTGCTTTACCCTAGAGCTGATACCCTGAATTCACATGTCTAGCCTCTTGAACTGTAAGAGAATAACTGTTTTTTTTAAAGCCACCCACTTGTGGTATCACTGTTACAGCAGCACTAGAAAACTAAGGTACTCCCTTTTATAAGCTTTCATTGCACCCCCTGATGAGCTCTATCCTACAGTGATGACACCTGTATTGACTGGTACTTGTCTTTCTCCTCCCACTCCACTACAGGATTCTCAAGTCAGCGTGATGTCACCTCTTGTTCATCTTTGTGAAATGGGTTCACCAGTACCCTGTCCAGTACTTGGCATAAAGTTCATTGATACAAAAGAAAATAAATGAGAACACTTTTTAAAACAGCACAAGTAATGTTAATTGTAGAATCTATGACTTGGGTATATGGTATTCCAATTTTTCTGTATGTCTGTAATTTTTATAATAAAATGTTCAGAAGAAAAAAATAACATAAATGGTATGCTCTAAATTGTCCATAGTTTTAATAAAATGCAAAATCATAGAAGTTAAATTACACAATTTACTAGAATACTAGAAAAAACATCTGCATCTCCTCAATATTGCCTTTGATGTGGTTTCCTATATTTCTCCCTCTCCTTCCTGGCCTCTGTCCTCTCTTTTGGTTATCGGCAATTTACCCCTCCCCACCTTTCCCTCCCTGTCTTACTGCTTCCTCCATTTACACACACACACACACACACACACACACACACACACACACACGCCACCTTGGCTATGCTTGGGGATTGTGGCAGGTTGTTATTACCTGAGGGGTCATCTGAGGTGGGGCCCACATTGATTTGGACGGTTCCAAATGGGGATGTTGGACTATCTCCCAGGAGGCAGAATGGGGGTGCTAAGGACTCTGTCTTTACATCCAGCACCTCCCCTACTCCAGGGGTCTGGGTGAGTGGGAGTAGGACAGGAAACAAAAAGAGAAAAAACAAAAAACAAGAGAGCTGGTGACAATAAAAACAAGAACAAGAGATTTACCACTTCCCAACTACCAATTACTTGCCATTCTAATTTGAATGGACCAGTATCTCTGTGACCTACATCCTGCCCTTATACTCTCTTTCTACTTTACTTGTGGGAAGGTTGAAGGACAAGATTTCAAATATTACCTTAGAGTAGGCACTCTGGCAAGAAGCTGTTCCAGGATTCTCAGTAATTAACAACTCTCTTCCCACCACTGCTACCCTTATCTCCATATATTAAAAAGACTCTTTCTCCAGTTTTAGACAGTGTGTGGAGGTGTGAAAATGAGGGCATCAAAGAAGTGGCAAAAGCAGGGAACAAGGGCACCTCCCACCCCAGAATTCCTAACACACAAATCATTTCATTAACACCAATAGTTGAAAGGAATGGAGAAGAGTTCCTAGGGACATAGCCTCTCACCTGGCTGAAGGGCTCTGTGGAGAGATGTGAGGATTCAGAACTGAGGGAGGAGGAAGAGCAGGGGGAGGATGGTTCAGACTTCACCTGAAGATCTAGAAGAAAGAGGGTACAAAGATAAGCAAGAAGCAGAGCCAAAAAGTATCCAAGGGAATGGGGGTGGGAATCCACCCATTAGGGAAAAGGAGAAGGAACAGACATAAAAGATTAAAACAGGAAAAAAGTGCACAGACTATATGTAGAAGTGGTATGAGGATACAAGCAATTACATATTTAATAATTTCTGAGAAACAGTGGGAAGATGAGAGTTTCTGAAAGGATGAGAGAACCACAAAGGATGTCTTACCTGGGAAGATAGGCAGGGGATCCCATGGGGGTTCAGGGGGGCTGGCATCCATTCCTACGTCCAGGCAACTGCTGTCAAACTGAATAAAGGAAGGAATCAGAAGGCCCGAATGTGAGAAATAAAAAAAGGAGTGGTTCCAGATGAGCCTAGGGGGGAGTCCTGATTCTGGGACCACTCCCACCCACCAAGGGTTAGAGAAGAGGCTAAGGGAGCAATACCGGGACATCCTGCTCCGGACAACGGAAGAGCTGCGTCTGCTCCTCGGCCACTTCATCCAGGCCAGCATACAGGGCACAGTCTGCAAAGGGTGAGGGGTGTTAGGGGGGTATTCTGGTGTCACAGCCTACAGATCTGCACACAAGACCCCGCCCCATGCCTCATCGGCTTGAAAAGTGATATAGCCAAAGAATCTCTCCCTCTCCTTCCCCGATTCCAGAACAACTTGATGTTCCCGCAAACGGTGGAGGTCTTCCCAGATTCCCACAGCCCCCGAATGCACAGCGAGCCCCTCTGCTCCGCCCTCTATCAGATGGTGGATTCCGTATTTGCCCAGCCTTCCTCTTTGGGCCTCCGCTTCCTTTCCGCGTGCCTCAGGGGCACAGTTTGTCACAGCTCCCTCCCCTCCCCAAGGCCTCACTCCGCAGACCCCAGTCCTCTGGGCTCAGCAGGTTGTCCGTGAAGAAACGCGTCGGGTCAGCAATCTCACTGAGGAGCATGAGCTCCGCCATCTTTCCCCCCCCGCCCCCCAACCATGAGACAGTTCCCAAGGCCCGCCTTTCCCCAGAGTCAACTCATCAGTTGCCTCTTAAAAAAAAAAAAAAAAAAAAAGGGGGGCGTCCCGGAAGCTCTGCCGACCAGTAAAAGACTGGGGTGCTGAGCACATGGATCAATAGAGGAGGTGGCTGTATAGCCACGGCCAATAGGAGCAAGGGGAAAGAGGGCAGCGGTTCCACTGTACCCGGCTGTAATATTTGCGCATGCGCTAAATAGGTCCCAGTGATTAAACAGCCTCTCGGGAGATGTAGTTCCCAGGCTTTAAAGCTGTTCCATCTCCCTCAGCCATTCCTAAGTTTTTAAGTTCAAGCCACTACCTAAACGTCGGAGGTGGCCAAGTCCCCCCAAAACGAAATACACGTAACCATATTAAAATTTAAAAAGAAGGAGAGTATTGCTATCCATTCTAGAAAGGCAAAAAAGCTAGAATGAGATTTGGGGGTGAAACCCTCCCCCTGGGCCCCCCAAAAGTCTCACAGTACAGACAACAAGTCACAGATTTCTGTCTCTTTTCAGGTTGAACCTTTAATCAGCCAAACATCTTGCGTAAACCCTGAGCCAGCTCAGCATCTTGTTTCTTCCCCTGAAGGATCACCTTCCCCAGCTCTTCCTGAGCTGCCCGGTTCTTTGGATCTACTGCCAGCACCTTCCTGAGGTCATCGGTTGCTTTTTCCAGGTTCCCAAGGGCAGCTTGGGCAACCCCCCTCCGGTACAAAGCCTTTAAATGGCCAGGTTCTCGCTCTAGCACCCTGTCACAGCTCTGAGCTGCCAACTGGGGCTGCCCCAACAGCAGCTGACAGGCAGCCAGATTAGCATGAAGGGCAGTTCGTTCTGGAGGGCCAGGTGGGGGTAAAGTCAGCAGCAGACGAAGAGCCTGTCCATAACATCGGGCAGCCTTTTCAGGGTTACCAGCTCGGAAGAATTCTGTGCCTTGAGCACGTTCCTCCCTGGCCAAGGCCTCCTTCTCACTGGCCTCCAGCTCCCAGGAGTCCCGACCCTGAGTAAAGGATGCCAGTGTGAGCCTGATAGGAGGTCCAGAGTGCCCAGGGAACTGAAGCTCTGCCTCCTCACCTTGACGCATGGACTCCAAACATTTCTCTAAAAGCTCCCCCCAAGGTTCCTCCCTCCATGGCCCTATGCCCAAAGTTAGCTCTGTCCAACCCTCTGGCAGCCCTGACCCAAAAGGAAATCCTAAAACCAGTACACGGCAGCAGGATCCCAATTTGGGTTTATCCAAGCCTTGGCCACGGGTTACTATCTTCTTGAGAAAGCTCCCATCAGGACAATACCAGAGATTAGAACCTTGAAGGGGCTCTGGCAGCTCACTGGCTAATCCATGAGACTTATCAGAGTCTCCTTCAAGTCCACAGGCCAGTTTTTCAGTCCACTGAGGATTCTCTAGAACCCGACTGACTGGATCTGGACTTCTGCTCAGCTCAAGGATATTAGTAGGAGGATCTCTGGGCTGCTGCCTGATCTGAAGAGTTGAATCAAGATTCTCCTGGGAGTTCTTTTTCCACTGTTGTTGCGGTTGAATGGGGTCCTTCTCCCCCGTTGGATTGCCAGGTGGCATCTCCATTTGGCTGCTTGGTCTCTTCCACCATGAGCAGGAAGTTTTAGTTGGAGATGGAGGGGCCAGATTCAGGTTAAGTAACTGAAAAGAAAACCAAAACAACGCTAATTTCAGAATTCTTATTTAGATTTTTCTTTCGGTCCTGCTGAGAAAAAGGCCCCGGGTGCTGAAAGTATCCAGTCCCCCCCTCTCCTCACCCCAATGTGGACTACTTTCTGCCCTACTCAAGCCTCCCTTGTACACCGACCTAATCCAAAACTATAAATTCCACAATTCCCCGCGGTTCATACAGCCGCCCCCGACTACGGAAAGTCAATCGGATCAAATACTCCCCAAGAGGCCGAAACGCCTATCCTGGTGACAATACCCGGAGTTAGTATCACTTCTCCTTCCGAAGCTAACTGCTCACTGAATACGATCCTCAGTCTTACTCCAAGCGGAGAGGACGCTCTGGGAGGCCGGGGCGAGCCCCGGAGAAACGCAGACAGCGAACCCTGGCGCCCCCAAGACAGCGAGTCAAATTCCAAGCGGCCAATCCGGAAGAGGGAGGAATACAGTTACCCCGCCCGCTGGACGTGACATCATTTCCCCCTCAACCGGGAAGCTTCTTGCCTTAGCAACCGGTCTAGGCCGAAGCCCGGGGTCAGGCTGGTCCAGTTGTTCGGGGTCTATGTCTGAGAAAGTCTTGGAATGGGAGCCTTGGGTGAATGAAGATGGAACAGGGTGGCGGGGGCGGGGGGGTTGGACAATGATAATGGTGGCAGACCAGCCCGTTTATCTGGCCGACCTCAGGCCCACCTCTGCTATTATTGTTGTCGTTGTTATGTGCCATGCAGTCGGACCCGACTCATAGCGACCCCTCCTTGGGTTGCCAAGGCAGTATCACTACGGAAGTAGATTGCCCAACCTTCCTTCCGAGGAATGGCTGGTGGATTTGAACCACCAGCCTTCTGGTTAGCAGTCAAGTGCCTTAGGCACTATGCTAGAGCTCCTCTGCTATTATTGTTCCTGTTTTGGGCTCCTGGAAGCCATCAACCCCTGTCAGTTCCTCAGCCCATCCAATCCTAGGGTCCTCCAAGATAAAGCCTCTGGTCTTTTTGTCCCCAATAGTCCTATTCCCTTGGAGATCCACCTGAGGCTTCTCTATACCTTTCCCTTTGTCTCCATTGTGGCTTTAAAACTCACTGCCTTCTAGTCGGATCCGACTCAAAACGACCCCTCCTTGGGTTTCGGGAGCGGTATCACAACGGAAGTAGATTGCCCAACCTTCCTTCTGAAGAGTGGCTGGTGGGTTTGAACCACCAGACTTCTGGTTAACAGTCAAATGCTTTAATGTGCACCTACCTGTATCACCAGGAAGGAGCTCTGGTGGGTAACACATTTGGATGATAACAAGAAGGCAGCAGTTCAAACCCACCAGCTGCTCTCTGGGAGGAAGGTGAGGCAATCCCATAAAGATTTACAGCCTTGGAAACCCAGAGTAAGCTCTGTCCAACCCTCTGGCAGCCCTGACCCAAAAGGAAATGCTAAAACCAGTACCCGGCAGCAGGACCCCAATTTGGGTTTATCCAAGTGACCCCTCAATGAGGGTCACTATGAACCAGAATCAACTCAATGGCCTTGAGTTTGGTTTGATTTGGTTTATATCACCTGGAGAACTTGTTAATTTACAGATTATGATTTTGAAGGTCTGAGGTGGGGTCTGTGATTCTGAATATCTAACAATGATGCTGATGGTCCTTAGATCACACTTTGAATAATGTAATTCTAGAATAATTTCATCTCATTCTCTTCATTCCTTGCTCTGAGCCCCTTCAGTTTGTCCTACATTTTGCACATATAACTGGTATAACCTGCTCCACTGATGTAGCAATGGAAAACTGGTCCTCCTCCTCACTTTTGTAATTCAGCCTTGCTTGTCCAGCTCCCTGTATAGGCGGGGTCACCACTACTCTGATGTTTGGATTCCTTCAGCTCCTATTGAAAATTGATCCACCTTTTCTTCCTCCCTTTTCTCTTTTCTGTTTCAGGGAAAGGCTGGCACCCTAATCCCTGGACAAAAATTGCTATGTGTATGATGTGTGTCTTAACTGAGAGGGTCACTACAATGACCCTTCAACAATCAGTGTAATACACTGTACTGTATTACAAATGTATTGCTTTCTAATGTTCTCTGGTTGTTTTGTGTGTGTACTTTTTAGTTCCAGCAAACTCCACAGGGCAAGCATCTTGTTTCCTATTTCTTCTGTGTTTTGCTTCCTTTGCCATTCATTCATTCAACAAATGTTTATTGTACACCTGCTATGTCCCAGGCAGCATGCTAGGAACTGGAGATACATAGGTGAATGAGACACACACAGTTTCTGCCCTGTGGATCTTATAGTCTGGCCAAAGAGAATAAGTAATTCCAGTGATATGAAGAAGTATAAGGTGCTATGAATGTAAATAATGGGCATTCAGGGAACATTCTTTGAGATGGAGGCATTTTTGCTGCCATCTAAGAATGAGTTGAAGCTGGATCTCAGAGAGCATACCTGTAGGTCTCATCTTGAGAAACACTGAATTAAATAGTCAGCTTTGGCTCTTTTGGTGATGCCTTGTCATTGTGATTATAAATACAAACACAAACGTAAGCACTGAAACTATGAAAAGTAATCCAAGTCCAAACTGCAAATTATTTTAAAAAAGATAATCCATCAAAATGAAAACAAAACTGTAAATCTTTAGAAGAGGACTCAGGAGACCACAAAGAAGATATCCATGGATCTGCAGAATCATGCAGGTCTCAGGCTGAGAAAAATAGGACTAGGAAGGGGCTACCATGTGAAGATTTAGAAATGGAACGGCGTATATAGGCTGTCTCCCAAAGTGCAGATACTGTATGAATGTTGACTGGCTCTGTGGTTAGGTTTGTGTGTCAACTTGGCTGGGCCTAGTTGAGTGGCTGGGCAGCTGGTGGTAGTTATTCCCCATGATGAGACGCAATCAACTTCATGGTGGGATCTACCACAAGCAGCTGAGTAGCTGCCTTTGGGATGTGATCTGCTTCCTATATATAAGGAGAATCCTTGGGAATGGCCTTTAGCCTTTGGCATGCTTGGACCCTGCATATAGCTGTGTCCTTGCTGTGCTGTGCTCTGCTGATCTTGGGACTTACAATGGACTTAAGTTAATGGCCAGCTATGTGGTTTGGTAACATCGGGACTGTGCCTTTTTACTTGTCAACCTTGGGGCTTCTCAGCCTCAGGAGCCAGCAGCTGTCTGAGTGAAGAAACACCTCTCTCTCCAGTGGGCCGGGAACAGGAGGCAGAGCTGGACCCCAAGGTTGAGGGGCTTTCACCCAGCCCCTAGAGCCTGGCACTTTGAACTTGGACTTAAAGCCTCCAAATTGTAAGAATAGACTCCTGTTTGTTAAGGCCATCCCATCTGTGGTACATTCTTGTCAGAGTGGCACTAGGTAACCAGAACAGGCAAGCTCTCGGGCCTGGTTATGTTAGGGCTCAATTCTCTAAGGACAGTCACCAAGGATTCAAAGGAAAAGAGAAACAAGCCAAAAGGAGTACATCCTCTGGCCTTGCTGGAGAAATGGGGTCTGATGAAGACATAAGAAGAGGAGGACAACTGAAAAGCTGCTTACCTATTGAGAGAGAGGCTTGGATTTGGGAATGAGGAAGGAGCGATAGCTCTTCTTCTTTGTCCCTGCTTCTCCCCTAAAAATTTGAGAATGAGAAGGAAAAGAGCAAACTTGAGGGGCAAAGATGAGAAGGACACTGAGTATTCCCCAGGTGACTAGATCCAGTCCCTTCCTCTCAATACAAGTGTCCTTCTGACCCCTCTCAACCTTTGGTGTTGCAGGGATTAACCTGAAGGGGGAGCACACAGCCACCTCTGCAAAGACAGTGAGATTAGGGAAGACTCTGGGTTAAGAAAAGGAGCCTTGGTGACACATTGGTTAAAGTGCTTGACTGCTAGCCAAAAGGTGAGTGATTTAAACCCATTAGCCACTCTGTAGGAGAAAGATGGACCAGTCCGCTTCTATGGAAGATTTACAGTCTTGGAAGCCCTATAGAGCAGTTCTACTCTGTCCTTACATGGTCACTATGCATTAAAAGCAACTCAGTGGCAGTGGGTTTGGTTTGATTTCTTGGGTTAAGAAAGAGAAGAGACATCTGGGAGAATGGGATTTAGGGTAGGGACACTGATTCTGCTCTCTGTGATTGTAAAATGGGGGTCTTATTCTGGAAAATTCTTCCCTCCTCACTATAGCAGGCACTTGACTGAGGGGAAACTGGTATCTGACAAGTTTCTGAGGATTTACCTGGAGGACACTAAACCAAAAATCAGCCGCCATCAAGTCAGTTCCAACTCACGGCTGTCCCACGTGTGCAGAGTAGAACTGTGCTCCATAGGATTGTCAGGGCTGTGACCTTTCAGAAGCAGATTGGCAGGGTTTTCTTCCAAGGCAGCTCTGGGTGGGTTTGAACTGCCAACCTTTAGGTTAGTAGTTGAATGCTTAACCGTTTGCACCATCCAGGATTCCTACCTGGATAACTGTTGTTAGCTGTTGTTGAGTCAGCCCCCGACTCATGGTGACCCCATGTGTTACAGAGTAGAACTGCTCTATAGGGTTTTCTTGGCTGTAATCTTTATGGAAGCAGATCACCAGGCCTTTCTTCCACAGAGCTGCTGGGTGGGTTTGAATGCCAACCTTTTGGTTAACAGCTGAATGCAAACTGCTCATGTTACCCAGGCTTCTACCTGGAGAATAAGACACTGTAAATAAGTTTATTTACTCCCCACTTGGAGTCCCTTCCTTCTTTCTGAGTCCACTCCCTGTAAGATGGTTCAGAGGACCTGGCCACATTCAGCTACTTTCCTTGCCTTATTTGATTAGGGTACAGTTTTGCCTTCATTAATGATCTAACCTGATATCCAAAATATATTAAGAACTCCCACAACTTAACAGGAGGAGCTCTGGTGGCATAGTGCCTAAGGCATTTGACTGC